TTTAGATACCCATAATAATTCTGATGCTTGAAAATGCCAAAAACAAGGGGGCTCTGGAGGACAAGTAGGTACTTTGGAATTCTATGATTTTTGTCTGGCACACATTCTACTTTATTTGCCCAGTGGGAAACATTTTCACAGCTACTCGGTCAGACGATAGAAGGTATGAGGTAGGACGATTGGTTACACTCTCTTCCCACTAAGTGAAGCGGCCATACACTAGGCCCTGCTCTTACCTAATTGTCCGATGAAATGACACCCCCCTTACGGCCATTTTCTGTTTCACATCGCTTTGGATTTACGCATGAAACCAACTTATTTATCAGTAAACTACTTTAAATTTTCAAAGAGCCCTAGTCATGGCAAAATAAGGCGGAACACGCAAGTCTTCCCCCGGATAATAAAATTTTGCTACGAGAACCCAAAATTTTAATGCAACGAACCAGAATATTGAAGGAGGTGGAGGGAAGGGATAGGCAGTGGTGGAGGGGCAGGCGGAGGAGGGAGTGGAGTGAGGAGTATCAGTAAACTGGCAATGGATGAATTCTTGATTAAGTGAATGAGAGGTGAGTTGAGGGAGATGAAAGGTCGGCATAGGCAGGAGACACGCTTTTGTCAATCGCGTGTACTCTAAAAATCCCTGGCTGGCAGGCAGGCATATCGCGTGCTTCGTTTGATGGCACGTCTGCAGATGCAGCGTGTGTCATGCAAGGACAGAATTTTTAAGTAAGGATGGAAGTGGCTATTTAGTATTGCTTCTGTAGCCCCACTTAATTAGCATCAGCTATATCCACGTCCCATTCGGAGAATTTCACCACCCTCTCTTTGAAGAGATGAATTAGGAGAGCTATAAATTGCTCAAGTGACGAGTTTTTTCATTCTTAAGTCAACTATCTCAATGAACGTCTGTAAATGTATTGCCTCTCCGCCTTGGAGTCTTTGCCAAGGACTTTGGGTCCATTTAAACAAAGTTGCGCCAGAGTGATGAAGCTTAAAAATAAAATGCAAACTAACCTAGAAAATGACTTCTCTTGGGTTATAGGCATGAAGTTTTTTCTCACCAATATCTCACCTTGAAATTGTAGGAGGTCTGATTGAAATTTCGTCTTTAAACTGGTGATGTAACGCGAGCAAAAGTCCTTTGAGAGCTCATTCACTTTGTGCAACTCTTGTAGATGAATTCGAAGTACCTTCACAGCCAAGAATATCTAAGGAGAGGAGGAGGGGAAGGGTAAAGGAAAAAACGTTATATTTTTTAATTGAGTAAGAACCAAAATTTGACCTTGAACTCGCCGATTAATTAAGAATCACTTACTAATTCATTCAACTCTGGATCCGCCATAAATACGTTTAGGGGAACATCACCATTACTCTCTTCATTCCTGTCTTTGGGCTCGTCTCCAACCTCGGAGGAAGTCGTTGGAAGATGGGTAAGAGGAAAAGCAGAGGGCGATGGATGTGGTGATTGTGACCTCTGCTGTGATTGGCTAGCTATCAGTGATGTAGTAGTACGATCAATGAATACACGTAGTTCCTCGTTGAACAGATCCAGAGCCGGTGGAGAACACGGTCGAACAGTTCCAGTCTCACATTGCCGAAAAAGGACCGCAAGAAGTGGGTACAAAGGGTGTCTGTTAGGTGGAACAAAAGAGGCCATTAACGGTGGTCATTTTATGGCAGTAGCACTTGGAAAGTAATTTAGTTAGAAAGAGGTGTCAGGACTTCATACCTTTTTGAATGGTTGTACTCACTGTTCGCGCAGGAAGATTTGTCCCCAACACAAGGTCAGGGTTGTTTAAGAATGCGCCAATCGGGGGTCCCACCTACTATCTGCAGATTCACAGAAGTGGCTGTTCTGCCCACCACGATCGGTATCGCCCTCGGCAGAAGCAAAGCCGGGCTTAAAACATCTACGTAACTCACGTTTCCCTAAAACCCACGGTTTTTGTGCCCTCTTTCTTGTTCACAGAAGACTGAATCATGAGTGCGCGCACTACCACCGATGTCTGCCATCATGATTAATCATGTGTAAATCCACCCACGCTGACATGGGTCGCCAAGTTGATTGTGGCCTTGGGTACATTCACCATTTGACGTTGTGTGTAACCTCTTTCAGGCTTAGCTTAAGCGCCCCTAATGTCTGTCTTGCTACTCCTCAATATTTTAAACTCCCGTCAAAAAAGCTAACCAAATGCAAACCAAACAAAATCATTTGACCTATCCACCTTTATTTTCCGCGAGATGTAACAATTAGAGGAAATAGTAAAACCTCAAAATGACTGAATAAATTAACAAAGCAGAAGAAATGAAGGCCAGAAAGCGTCTTCGTGATGGAGTTATCACAGACGCAAACAATACCATGACAACTAATGGACCAGGCTGATAGAAGTAGAGTAGAATGAGGCGGGGACTTAAGTCAGAGTGGTGCGTGTCACACGGGACTTTCTACCTTGTCTTTCCACCTAGCCTATTTCGACTGCCGCCACCACCACCGCCAATCGTTATCGCCGTCACCCCCTCCTTTGACATGGGCCTATTTAGTGCGCTCGTCAATGATTGTTTCGCATACAAATCAGTCAAAATTTGGAGAAGAAGTTTATACACAGAAGGTTTACCTAAATTACTCGACTATAAGTGTGGAGCCAAAATTTTTTATAAAGAATCGTAAAGCAAAGACTCACTCTTTGATCATACGCTTCTGCACATCAAGAGATTGGTTTACACGTGGAACAAGAAGGTTGTTCATAGCGGGGAGGCTATAAAACAAGATAAAAACAACAAATGTCAGAGCAACTACTGATAAGTGGCAGTTTGAGAAGAAGACTAGCGGTACCTCAGGTGTCCTCTCCTCTCCCCCCACCCCATTCTCAACAAAAGGAAATCAATTAACGTATTCTCTCTCAAGCCTCACCTCCGAGGTTGCAGCAACCAAATTAACCTTTTTTAATCTGCGGATAAACACACTTCCTTTTTCTTAAAGACTCTTGACTGAAGCAGATTAAGAAGCCTCCAACTGGTATGACAGAGTGACACGTCCTTTACCGCATTCTGCAATTCACAGATGGAGGCACAGCCTGTGGCTCAGACAGAAGATCTAGAAGCTAGGACATCTAGGCCCACTTTTAGTAAACAATTGTGCACGAAAACTTTTCCACCAACAGATTGGACTGGGCAAAAGATGGACTGTGTGACTTGACAAATATGAATGACGAATGCTAAAGGGATGCCCTATCAATCAAGACTTAATTGACTCAGATAAAACAAAGATATAAGGCGCCTTCTTCGGCTTCTTTTCTCACAAAAAAAGGAAAAGTAAAGAAAGGAAATCATTTTACGTTAAGTGAATTTGGAGTGAAAAACTTAAAGAAATACAGGAGATTTCCAGCCCTCATGATGTTTTATGCAGTAATCATTGCTTTATGTCTGATGAAAGTTTTGTATACCGTTGTCTTGGTGTGAAAACTGCACCTAGAGCTGGGTCTTAGCAACTATGGCCAGGTAAGTGGTCTTAGACTCAGCTCATGCACGCGATCACTGGAAAGATAGCATCTCTCGCAAGAGCGTGTGTGTGTGTGTGAGGGGAGAAAAAAACACCGCACACCATCACCTCACCCCAGATAAACTGATTGACACCTCTACTTTGACGACTCGAAAGCCGATAACGCCCGACTTATTGGTGGTACGGGCGTTTGCACATCAGTCCATCTCTCCGTCAATCACTTCGCGTATCAGATACGATTGCCCATGTCTAGGCAAACAATTGAAGCAGCATCTTACTACCGGTGTGGTCTCACTTTTGTGTTGACTACCACAATATCGTGATTTAGCTAATCACTGACAATCTGGCCATGACTTGCCTTCACTTGTGAGTAATTATATGGTCTGTGATACACTAGATGCATGTCCGACTTCCTTCTCCTATTCTATCCAATAAAGGTACTTTTGACACCTGACAACGCAGTATCGTTTTTAGTGGGAATGGAATAAAAGGGCAAAAAATGTAGGGGTGTGTCGATGAAAATGTTAAATGATGGCATTTGTGTCCGGAAGAAATTGGATTACAGTATACCATATCATCAGTGAGGACTAAAGCACATAGACTCCAAATCCTAACAACCAATAGAGGAAGAGAGGGAAAGGCTCCGATTGTTTTTTTCCCCAAAATCATGGAAACCCAAGACACACCCATTTTCGGATTCTTAAAAAATTATAAAATAAAAAAGGGGTATATTCCGGTTTCAAAAATCGACGCCTTGATACAGACCCTTCGTTGAAGGGAAGGGGAAAAAAATACCCATTTGTACTCGCCTAGAATTCGTGGTCTACCTCACCCTCACCACTGTTTTACCTGACGTAGGTGTCTAGACTTGACCAAACGAGTCCCTCCTGGCATTACTTTAGCTCTACCAATCTGTCAGTCATACAGTACACATTCCTCTACATGTGCATGCCTGTCGACAAACTAGTCTGCCTATACACATGAGTATGCACACTGTGAAAGGATGATTACGAACTATTCACGTAGTTTGTTTCCTTTCTAAGGTCCTCGATATCCTATCTTGCCACGAAGCAATACCTTTTTCTTGTTTTCTTTGAATTTATCACCACCGTATTTGGCTCAAGAGGCAAAAGTGGGCTCTTCGAGAAGGACTTGTGGATGAAATCTTGATGCCTCTGCAAAGTGAGACCAGCCAACCACGGGCTCAACGAATTCAGGCTTTTTACAGACAAAGGCATCACTGAACCTGCTATCGAACACGAGCTGGAGTGACTTACAAATGGTGTTGTATACAAACGGTAGCCGGGTAAACAAGCGAAAGTAAACAATGGGGCGGGGGCCCTAGTTTTGACCATGCTCACATCTCTGTAAGTAAATTGCAGAACCGGTAAAGTTAATTGACTTCTGTCAAACAGATGACAGTGTCTGATTTTTTTGGCAACCTTAAAAAGGATTCGGGCATAAGATGCCTAGAGATAAAGCTTGTTTGGGGAATTTTTGGACAAGAAAATGCAATAGGAATCAATGCGGATGAATCTACTTCCGGAAAGGGTGATGTCAATCAATCTGCCTTACATCTGAACTACTTATGGGGACGTTAAAACATTCCTTCCTCCTACTATTACAGCCAGCCTAACTGTAATTGTAGGCATTGGTGAATGGGGACTCCGTTGTGTGAAAAGTGGTGGTCACTGTCATAAGGAATGACCCCTTGCATTTTTAAGCAGCATGGGGTCAGAGACTAATTAAAGGAAAGTTCTGTGCCAACACAGAAACAGGAACTTCAGATATGCTGCTAGTGGATCTGTGGTTCATGCCTAGACAGGCTAGCAACTACGGGAATGCACGGTTAGTGGGCATCAGGTGTGTCAAGAAAGTCAGATCACAGGTGTTGATGCCTACGTTCACCATGCCATTGTTTGTAGCTAAGATACAGTTGTCAGCAGATGCTCCCTCCCCTGCTCCATCTTTGCCTCCTCCTCGTCCTTTGCATGGAAACCTATAAACTGACAACACGTGTTGTGTTCTCCTTTCTGTCGGTCCATCTGGATGATCCAGGGACAGCCTTCAGGGGAGAAGATGCAATAAAACACCACAGTAATACTTGGATAGGCTCGTCAGTAGGTTTTCTGTTATTAATTGATCTCTCTAAGGGACGCCTTTGCTTTATTCCACTTAATAAATTGACATTGTGTAAAATTATCCATTAAAAGGGAAGAGAAGGGTTGGACAATGCTTAGGGAAAGAATAGCTCAAAATTCCTTTACTTTTGAAACGTAAATTACCTCTTCACAGTACACTTTTACTTGTTTATGCAAAACTGCGTCAGGGGGAGACCATTAAACTATCCTTAAAAAGGGAAACATGAAAGATTTTTTATCGCAACGCATGGTTGTGCAAAAAAGAAAAAAACGAAATGTGCGTTTGAATTAGGAAGTAGATTTTTCCGTTCAAAGCATCATTCCAGACGTCGGGTTATTTTTGAAAGCTAAAACTTTGCTGTAGGCGAGTTATTTGCAACAATAGTACCACCAGGACAAAAGTGAGAGTGGTGGGAAATCGGTATGTCGCATAAGGAGGGCATTGTAAAACCCGCAACGAGGTGTGTGTGTGATGACACAATCGGCATCAGGAAACAGCAGTATTGTGCGCATAATTGTTACAACTTCGAAATCCCGAAAGCTACCTTCTCCCTCCTCTCCTCTGGTGTTCTAAATTTTAGGACTTGTCTAACCCCCTGTGTCCGACTCTACACTATTGACGAAAATTTAGGCATGAGTAATTTTAACCCAAAGAGAAAGCGGCATAATTAAAGTGAAGTCTCAAAATTGGGCCACTAGTTAAAGTTTTATAAGGAATAATAAAATGGGGGGATGAAAACAAATGAAAGTTCCTTACCCGCTCAAATCCTGCATAGAAGTGTTGCATGGCGTGGAAGTGACATGGAGATCCTGGGAATCGTTAACGTCAGTAGCATTGGGTGAATAGTAGCTAGGATTGCTGGTGCTATTGTTGCTGGTATTGCTGCAGGCATAGGGGAGAGGCGAGCCCTGTTGATGAGAGGAGGGGACACAGTTTATTGCAATGATTTGCCGTTCCGCGTCCATGCAAAATAAAATTCACACGACAGATAGATCAAGTCGAAAAAAGCTACACTAGGCTACGCGCGTTTTTACTAATGAGCTTGTCAATCATCTCCCCAGCCTTCATGCGCTAAACGCGTACGTGCAGAACGTGCAAACCAATGCTCATGCAGATCGACAGCCGCGCACATTTGATTGGCTCTCAGGCTCTGAACCATTGGCAGAGCTCCGCTCTGGATTGGTGACTGCGGGTAGAGGGAGCGCGTGCCAATGACGTTGATTAACCAATCAGAAGACAAGCTAATGTAAAGTAATGCGCATAAATGATGTTTCTTAAAGGCATTTATTCTTACTAACAATGCTTTAGTTAGGTGATTTTGTTAAATGATGGACAGTTTCCTGTTCATAATACCATTTATTCAGCGGTATATCCAGTTCTTAGGAATAGCATCTTTTACAGTTACTAAATAAACACCGGACTCATTTTTTATCAAATCTTTTTTTCACTTGGTGGTCCGGATTTATTGCAGACAACCTAAATCTCTAGATTTTGCCAAATCTACTAAATGGAAAAGAAAAGAAAGTCGAGTCGGAGACTTCTTTTGGCACTTAGATTCCATGCACTGAAAAAAAACAATAGCCAGCTGATAATATTTATAGACAAATAAATCAAAAGCATAAAGTGGAAGATCTTTTTTGGATAACTTAACGCGTTTGTAAGTGCAAAAAGTCTTTAGTCCCACCCTGGGTGTCATAATGCTCTAATTATGCCACCTACGTCAAAAGTGTACCAGTCTCTCTGAGCAAAACTGTATAGACTTTACACATTCTTAACAGCGGGGAACTTTTTCTTTGACACTACTGGCGTCATTAAGTTTATATAAAGCCAAAGTGAACCTTAAAGCCTTTTCTTACCGTTTTTTATGGGCTATTAGGAGTGAATTTAATACACAATTAAGGAAATTTTTATGGCTCTCAGTACGACCTACTGTAATGACTTGTTAAAACTTAAACTTCCATAAAATGCATGAATATGACACATCAGCCTCTAGACGAGGCACATTTCGTTGCACTCCCTACCACTTCCCTCTTTCCTTTAACTTACCTTTTATGTGGCAAGATGCTGGTTGATTCTGACTAATGTCTTCGTGCTTACCTAATGGTTGAGGGGTGTATAACTCTGTTGCAAAGCTAAAGAAGCTTTGATCATTCTTAAACGATCCAATTTTGAACCTCTTGCATTAAAGACTAATCTTTGGCTCTGTGCGCGAATGTGTGGGTATTTGTGCGGCAGACTGCAGACGAAGCTGTTTACTAGTAAGTCCTTGCTAAGGGTCAAACAATTACGACTGAAGTCCCTTCGCTCGATACTACTCAGAAGTGTGGAAGCGTGGATTCTTCTTCTGCCT